TGACCTAACAGAGCAGAAAAGAATCAGTAAATCTGATACGTCTCGCTTGCAATTAGCTGTGGTAGTGCCATAATGAAGCTTGCTCAGGAACCTTGTTACCATGAAATTATTACCCCAAAACAGTTCAATTCTGTGCACTTGTTATTAATGATGAGTGTTATCAAGTAAGGCAGATATTTGCTCAGAAGCTCCACAAGGCACTTGTGAAGTTGCTGCTCCCCCTGGAGTCCATGACAATCTTTGTCTTGTGTGCCAAAGATCCAGTAAAGGAGAGGAGGGCACATGCATGACAGTGTTTACTAAAAAACATCAGTATACGCAGGGAGTACATTAAACAGAACCCTATGGCTACTGAGAAATTATTATCACTGTTGCCTGAATATGTAGTTCCATACATGATTCACCTGCTAGCCCATGATCCAGATTTCACAAGATCACAAGATGTTGATCAGCTTCGTGATATCAAAGAGTGCCTATGGTTCATGCTTGAAGTTTTAATGGCAAAGAATGAAAACAATAGTCATGCCTTTATGAAGAAAATGGCAGAGAACATCAAGCTCACCCGAGATGCCCAGTCTCCTGATGAATCCAAAACAAATGAAAAACTTTATACAGTTTGTGATGTGGCTCTGTGTGTTATAAACAGTAAAAGCGCCATGTGCAATGCAGACTCTCCAAAGGAACCAGTCCTCCCAATGAAGTTTTTTACACAACCAGAAAAGGACTTCTGTAATGACAAGATTTATATTTCAGAAGAGACAAGAGTGCTTCTGTTAACAGGAAAGCCAAAGCCTGCTGGAGTATTGGGTGCAGTAAACAAGCCTTTATCAGCAATGGGAAGAAAACCTTATGTTAGAAGCACTGGCACGCAGACTGGAAGCAACATGAATGTAAATTCAGAATTGAACCCTTCAACCGGAAATCAATCAAGGGAACAGAGTTCAGAGGCAGCAGAAACTGGAGGTAGTGAAAATGAAGAGAACCCTGTGAGAATTATTTCTGTCACACCTGGAAAGAATATTGACCCGGTAAAGAGCAAGGAAATTAATTCTGATCAGGCTGCCCAGGGCAACATCAGCAGTGACCGAGGAAAGAAAAGAACAGTAACTGCAGCTGGGGTGGAAAATATCCAACAAAAGACAGATGAGAAAGTGGATGAATCAGGACTGCCTGCCCCTTCCAAACCGCGAAGAGGACGCTGACCCAAGTCGGAATCTCAGGGCAACCCAACCAAAAACGATGATGTAAATAAGCCTAATAGCAAGGGGAGGAAGCGAGCTGCAGGCAGCCAGGAGAGCCCTGGGGGCTTGGAAGCAGGAAATGCCAAAGCACCCAAACTGCAAGACGGAGCCAAAAAGGCAGTCCCAGCAGAGAGACAGACTGACCTGCAGAGGTAAAAAGAAGACTCCTTTGTAAAGGGAGGGAGCGAGGGCCACACAGAAGCAGCTCTCGCTCCTGCAGGCCTTGAATTCACAGTGTCCTGAGCAGGAGACAGCGTTCACATCAGAACTCACACTTTCGGCCTTGAAAACGGAAAGAAACTCTTGCTTCCTTTCCATATGACCCCAGTCCTCCGATGGAAGTGGACAGCAGTACCTCTCGAGAGAGGCTAAAAGCAGCTCTGGGCTACACCCCCCACTCAGACTTTTCTTAGGAAAAGTCAATAATTAAGCAAATTGCTTAACACTTGGTTCCAGTTCCTGCATATCTGGAGTTTAAATGCATAATACACCATTAATTTCTATGCTGCAGTTTTTATTTTAAAGAAAGTAACAAAATGTCCTTACACTGACACAGAAATTCTCCATTTTAGAACCAGGAATTCCCATGTTACACAAGAAAAAATAGAAATCTACTGAATTAATTTTTTAAAAGAAAAGAGATCAGATGAAATATTTCTTTGTTTTTCCTTTTGGAAATTTTGATGTATAGTTCTTTCTGCCTGCCTACTTTTCTGCAAAAATGAGATGTACAGATTTCAATTCCCTGCTATGAAAAGTGATGTGGTGGCAATTTTATAAATGTTGCTTTCTGATTTTTATCAGAGTGAGAAGATAATTAAAATTATTATTGATTTGCAAGTAGTAAACAGTTCATATTTTGATTTCCCTCCATTTTAGTTTAATATAATTTGCAATAAATGTACATATTGTTGTTTTTTTCGTAGAGCATATCACTTTAAAATGGTTTTTACTCCTATGATTATGTTGGAATATTTGGGATTTTAAAGGAGTAAAAGACTGTCCAGCATTTGGTTTTGTAATGTTTGTCACCAGATTTTTATTATTGTTGTAAAAAAAAGTTCGATTTTTAAAAATAGTTGGCCTTTGGCAGCTTTGTAAGGGACGTCGGAGGTGAGGTGTTCAGGATTGCTGTCAGTTTTCGACACTGTGCTGTTGGGAAGGAAGTATTTTGCTTTTGTCTGCTGGTCTCGGCTCAGTTTTTGTTTATTTTAGAAGACAACTGTTGCATCAGTACATTATGTTTCTTGGCATTGTTCAGCATAGGTAACGTGTGCACTTTTCCTGTACACATCATATTTAAGTATTTTGTATAAAATAAATGCTTCTAGATATAAAAAAAAAAGAATCAGCTTTTTTTCCTTGTTGATACTTTCTACGATATTTTTGTCTTCTATATCCTGCAATTGTGATTTTTTTTCTTGGTGATCTGGATTCTGCTGCAGAAGTGAGGATTTAAGTTGTCCTGCCTTTTCAGCTCCTTGAGGTGTGACGTTCGGCACTTTGCCTGTGATATTTCGATTACCTTGATGTGTACATGCAATGCTGTGAATTTTCCTCTTCACACTGCTTCATGTCATCCCAGTGATTCTGATGTGTTTTTGTTTTCATTTGCTTTCAGAAATCTTTGTATTTGTCTTGATATCTGTGTTGGCCCAGAAGTCTTTCAGTGGTATTTTAATATCCATGTCTTTGCATGTTCTGGACATATCTTGCTGGCAATATTTATTTTTATGCCACTGTGATCTGAGAAAATGCATGGTATAATTTTGATCTTTTGAAATGTGTTCACTCAATTTATGTCCAACAATGTGATCAATCTTAGAGTGTGTTCCATGTGCTGATGAGTAGAATGTATATTTTGTAGATGTTGGGTGAAGTGTTTTATGGATGTCTGTCATCATATCCATTTGACCGAGTGTCTAATTGAGGTTCTGGATTTCCTTGTTGGTTTTCTGCTTTGATGATCTATCTAAAGCTGTTAGTGAGAGATGTAGGTCTCCCACTATGATTGTGTGAGAGTCAATGTCCTCTCTTAGCCTACTCAGTACTTGTTTTATGAAACCCGGTGCTCCTTGTTGGGTGCGTATATGTTTAGGAGGAATAGTTCTTGCTGGTGGATTGACCTTTTATCATTATGTAGTGTCCTTCCATGTCCATTTTAACTTTCAATGGTTCGAAGACTGTTTTTCTGTCCCAGAATAGTTACACTTGCCCTCTTCTGTTTTCCACTTGCCTGAAAGATCATTTTCCAGCCACCAACTTTGAGTTCATGGGTGTCATCTTCAGTGAGATGAGTTTCCTAGAGGCAGCAGGCTATTAGATCATGCTCCTTCATCCAGGTTGCCACTCTTTCAGTGGCATATTTACACTATTCATGCTCAATTTCATTATTGAAATGCAAGAATTGATCCCCATCATAGGGCTCTTAAGGGGTTGCTTTGTGTCCTTTTAACTCTTGTATTATTTATTTATTTTCATGTTTGTGAGTGCATTGTATTTTCTGCTAACTCTGTGCTTGCCCAAACTTTTTGATAGGCATGACCATTCCTTTTTTGTGTGTTCTCTGTTCCACAGCTTCTTAAGCCTCTCCTGGAGGACTGGTCTGGAGACAACATATTCTATTAGGGATTGGAAGTCTGGGAATGATTTTAGTTGTCCATCACTTATGAGATTAGCATGGCTAGGTAAGAAATTCCTGGCTGGAATTATTGATCTTTAAGAATGCTGAAAGCGTCCAAGTCAGTGGGACTACAAATCAGATCCACTGTGACCGATTTCCCTGAGCTTTTTATAAATCCTTTTATAAACCTGGGCAAAGTGGCTCACGCCTGTAATCCCAGCATTTTGGACAGTGGTGAGAGGATTGGCTGAGCCCAAGGGTTGGAGACCAGCCTGGGCATCTTAGCGAGACCTCACGTCTACAATAAACCAAAAATGAGCTGGGCATGGTGGCACACATTTGTAGTTTCAGTTACTTGGAAGGATGGGGCTAGAGGATTGCCTGAGTCCAGCAAATTGAGGCTGTGGTGGCCGTGAGCATGCCACTGCACTCCACACTGGGCAACAAAGTGAGACTCTGACTCAAAAAACAATACTTCTAGAGATTTTTAAAATAACTCCTTTCAGATCCCCTCACTGCCCCAGCAGTCATCTTGAAATCTCCCAGACATCACTCAGCAGTACACAGGTGACAGTGCCCGAAGGTCCCTAGCTGCTCCACTGAACATGATTAGAAACTCTGGGACTCCATACAATCCAGAAGCCTGCCCTATGCCAGTACCAACTCCAACATACAGTAAGGTAGACCCAGGACCCAGTGATAGAAACATGAACATGACACTGAGCGGTATGGATGAATTCATTTATTTTATTTTGAAATGAAAAGCCAAATAACTGGAGCCCTGTCACCAGGGTGCCACAACCCCATCCCCGCCTCCTTCCTCTACCCTGTACTAGCAATAAATAAGTTTCCCCAAACCAAATTATTAGAATCTTTTTATTTGCCAGCTTCAACCACGCCTATTATACAGGGGGAGGCACAACCCCCAGAATAAACAAAATGTTACACAAATACAATATGTACACATGAGCAGGGGAGCTTAACCACACAGCCTGTGTTTTCCCAGCTGACAGTTAGCCCAACTGTCCACCTGGAGAGAATGCCACCCCATTGTCCTGCCCCAAGTGACTCTGAGTAAGAAGACGGAGCCGTCTGAAGAAGGCCTGCTGGGTGGGGTGAGGAGATGACTGGGGAGTCCCTGCTACTCCTGAGGGACAGCCTCCAAAGAAACTAGAGTTTTAGTCTCAGGCATTTTGTTTTTCTGGAACAAAGCAAACCCAGAAATTCAGATGAGGCCCTGATTCAGCTGGTGAAGGGACTGCACCAATTTCTCTCCCTGTTAGGCACAGGCCCTATCTTGCTACTGTCAAGATGAAGGGGTGAGGAGGGAGAGATGGCAGGAAAGGTACACAGTGGCAGGGGCAGGGTAGGAGGGGAAGGAACATGGTGGGGGCAGAGGCCCCGGCCCCTCTCCTGGCTCTAAATGTCCAATATCTTCAACTCGTTACACCCATGATGCCTGTAGAAAAAGGGTATGCAGAGCTTGTCAGCCAGGACTGGGCTCTCCTGGGTGATCTGGATTCTGGAAAGCAGATGAGTAATCTTCTGTGTAGTAGGACTCTTGGGAGTAGTGCCCTCTCCTGTGTCTCCTTGTGTCGACTCCCCATCATCAGTCAGGCTCACCGTGCTGAGACCTGTGAGTGGAGACAGGCCAGCATCTGAGCACTGCACCCTGCCCGCACCTGCCCAGCCCTCGTCAAGTGTGCTACTCACCAGCTGGCTGCCCGTAGGCAGCTCCCAGCTTCTGGGGGGCTGCAGGCCCTGGAGTGGACTCTGCAGCAGGGCTCTGGGTAGCAGCCAGGAATTTGTCATGCCACATTTCACGCTCGTGCACAAGTCGTGACACCAGCTCCTGCAGATCCTGAAGCCTGCCCTGAAGGGAGAGATGCTCAGTGTGCGCCCACCATCCGCCTCACCCGCAGACAGTTCCTGGGCCCTACCTCCATCTCTTCGTTTTCCTGGGTCAGTCGGCTGAGGTCCTCCTCCACCTCTCGGTGCCGTTCCTTCATCACTGCCCTCTGGTTTTGGGACAGGGCCATGGACTCGCCTGCAGGAAGACAGGGCTGAGAGGCTGGCCCTTCCCCCCCAGGGAGCTGCCGCACCATGGCCAAAACCTTCCTGCTCACCAGGAGTGTCAGTCTCTTCAGACAGCTGGACACAGCGATGATCCAGCTCCACCATCCACTCCTGCATGTCTTCCTTCTCCCGCAACACCTGCAGGAAGTGGCTCTGGAAACGGAACCCGGAGTCAGGGTCAGCAGCATCCTACCAGTCCAGCCTCCTTGGGCCTGTCAGGAAAGACTACCTCACCTGAAGATTCTGCATGGCCCTCTGGAGGGCCAGGTGCTCTTCCTTGGACACAGACTCGCCCCTGGTTCCAGGAGCTGGAGTGACCTCCTCCGCCGCCTTCCAGGTTGGGTCTGCCATCTTGACTAGTCGCTGGCAGGCCACTGTGCATTTCCTC